CTCACTAGTACACACACGACATATTATGGTAAAGGACAAATAAATAGGACCCCAAACTTAAATAGTTAGACAAAGAATAAGTTAATACAATTGCAAAGAATGCAGCAGAAAAATACAAGTGATCAAAGGGTTAGAAGGATAGATTATGGAAAGAGAAGGTTCACAGCTACAGATCAAGGAATGATTCTTCTTGAGAGATTTAGTTGGGGAAGAAAGGAGTCATCTATCTACCCTGAGAGGACTAAAGTCCCTAATGCAGCTTAGTTGCAGGAATCTCCTATACCCAAACTCCAAGGCTACAGTTCCACATCAACATAATATACACCTAGTAATTGCGTATACACAAACTTACCCAAAAAGAATATATAACATACACAAATATATATATATATATATAGGCACAAATATAGAGGGGGCCGTGACAATGCCACATGATCCAAGGGTTAGAAAGCACAGATCATGGAAAGAGAAGGTCACCCATCACAGCCACAGGATCAAAGAACGATGCTGCCCGAGAGTTAATTGGAGAAGAATGGAGTCACTCATCTTCCCTGAGAGGACTGAAAATCCATAATGCACCTACCCTTAGTTGCAGGAATCTCCTACAACTCCAGGACCACAATTCCACCTTTAGGGGCCAAAATGCCACAAAAAAACACAAATCCTCGGAGGTGATCCTCAAAGCCAAATAGCAAACTGTTGTACAATCATATCTGATCTTGATAAAGAGAGTCTATGTACTAGTTGCATGAAACACATACTAAACCAAATACTTGCTCCATCAGTAGTCACTTTGGATTACTTGCATGCAAGGAGCAATTGTCTAAGGCTTGGATTATTATAGCTGCTACCACGAATGAGATTATACAACTTATAGGATAAAAGAACAACGATGTAACCAGTGACCATGAACATATCTTGATAAAGAGAGTCTATGAGCTAGTTCCATGAAACACATACTAAACCAATACTTGCTCCATTAGCAGTCACTCTGGACTACTTGCATGCAAGGAGCAATTGTCTAAGGCTTGGATTATCATAGCTGCTACCACGAATGAGATTATACATCTTATAGGATAAAAGGATAGTGATGTGACCAGTGACCATGAAAATGTTTTACCATAAAAACATGCAATAATAAGCATTTTTCATGGACATATTTTTTGTATTTACATTACACAAATTTTGAATAGACAAACATACGTATGCACATATATTATAAGATTATTTTAAGAGGCCTTCTAACCTTCTAAAGATGGTTCCTACACCTCACCCCTCCTATGCAACTTAGTTTCTACCAGTTAACATGAATGACATGATTTGTTTTACATTTTTGTGGTTTTTTTTTTTTTTGATGGGGAGGGGGAGGGGATCAAGAAAACATGGGAGAAGATCTAGGGATTTACACGAGGGGCAGAGGTCAGCAAGAAAAAATTTGCATCAGAAGAAGCAACCACAATGAAACTTCTAAACAAGGAATGATGCTACCCGAGAGTTAATTGGATGCTACCGGATCAACGAAGGATGCTACCCGAGGGTTAATTTGAGAAGAATAGAGTCACCCATCTCCCCTGAGAGGACCGAAATCCATAATGCACCTACCCTTTAGTTGCAGGAACCTCCTACAACTTCAAGACCACGATTCCACATTTAGGGCCCAAAATGTCACAAAAAAACACAAATCCTCGAAGGTGTTCCTCAAAGCCAAATTAGCAAACTGTCGTACAATCATATCTTATCTTGATAAAGAGAGTCTATAAACTAGTTCCATGAAACACATACTAAACCAAATGCCTGCTCCATCAGCAGTCACTCTGGACTACTTGCATGCAAGGAGCAACTGTCCAAGGCTTGGATTATCATAGCTGCTACTACGAATGAGATTATACAACTTATAGGATAAAAGAACAGCGATGTGACCAGTGACCATGAAATTATTTTACCATAAAAACATGCAACAATAAGCATTTTTTATGAACATATTTTTTGTATGTACATTACACAAATTTATTATGTATGATAGATATTTAATTTTGAATATATAAACATACGTATGCACATATATTATAAGATTGTTCTAAGAGGCCGTCTAACCTTCTAAAGATGGTTCCTACTCCTACACACCTCCTATGCAACTTAGTTTCTACCAGTTGACATGAATGACATGATTTACTTTTTTGTGTTTTTTTTGGGTTGGGGGGAAGGGAAACGTGGGCGAAGATCTAGGGATTTACATGAGGGGCAGAGGCCAGTAAGAAAAATTTTGCATCAGAAGAAACAACCACAGTGAAACTTCTAAACAAGGGAGAAGATCTTGTGGAAACAAGAATAAGTTACTTAACAAAGTTGCAAACCACACAGGTAAAGCTCAAGAAGATTCACTCCATACTTGCATCAAAGAAGCAAGAGCAATGCTACAGTAGAAATAAATCAAATCAAGCTTGCAAGATCAAGATCTCACATATCAAATGACCTAAAGAGATCAAGATCAAGATCTCACATATCAAATAACCTAAAGAGAGCCGCTTCAATGATAAGTTGCTTTTGCGCTTTTTGTTTGCAAGCAAACTCGATGAAGAAGAAGTTCATCAATGATAAAAAACAAGTACAAATAAGATGAAAAATTTAGATGGACTATCACAATTGGCTATTTAGGATACCCAATTCTTATGCCTAATTCTATACCATGTAATAATATGGAATTTCGCCTAAGCTTATCATATTAGAAGTAGCCAGAAGAAATAATCTCCTTCTTTAATGCCTGATTATATCACAGGTTGGGAATTTTATATGGACAGAAAAATCATTCACAAGGGAGATAATGATTCGAATGGTAAGAATTGAGAAGAAAATAATAAAAAAGGAGGGGGAGGGGGGGAGAGGATCTGTTCATTTACCTTATTGGTTACAACAACCACCTGTGCATTGGCCAGAAGCTCCAAAACTTCTGAAAACCCAAAGAGAAATGCATTTTGAGATATATATATATAAAAATAAACATAGATTCTGTAACAATAATGAAAAAACAAAGAATAAATGGCCATGGAAGAACTCGCGAGGCCACAAAAGAACTGAGCCAATGAAAACCTAAAACTGATTTAGGAAATGTTCCTGAAAATATATCAGACCTAGTTTCAGAGAAGAAAATAACATTAAGTATTCTAAGATTTCTAACAAAATATGTTAAAAGAAACTGATTTTGAATCAATTTTGTGAAAAAAATCACAGAATTAGTTGCAAATGAAAAGATTCCCTAAATCATCCTTTGAGTTAAAAACTCTGGAGATGAAAAAAATCAAAAGAATATAAAAATTTCCTTGCTGATGAAAAAAAAAACTAGATTCTAAATGAGCAACCAGCTAAAATTTCAGAGAATTCACCATAAAATAAATAAACCCTAAAACGATCTATTGCCTCTGATTAGGGGCACTACATTCCTGGTTGTTGCCATCTCCTCTTCCAAATTTTGCCCAAAAACACTAGCTCCAAGACCTGAAAGAACAGAAGAAAAGAAAAAATGGAGGTGAATTCTCGAGTGGAATTAAAAAATTAGGGTTTCTCCTACTGTGAGAAGACTGAACTAAGAAAAGAGCAAGAAAAAACCAGTCTTATCTCCCTCTCTATCACTAACCTTTATTCTCTCTATACTTCTGCCTCTTCTCTCTTCTTTCTCTCTCTTTTTCTTTCTATTCTTGTGCCTGCCTCTTCTCTCTTCTTCTCGCTTTCTCTTTGTAAGCTCATTAAATTTGGTTTCCAAATGGCTTTGTTCGTCTGGTCCAGAAATATAAAGGCCCCGCTCTCAACTGTCATTTGTTTGAGATGGTTGGATTTGTTTTATCCAACGGCTGCAACCTTGGACTATAAAATCGTGTTAAGGCGACCTTTTGGGTGGAAAATAGCAGTTGCAGTTGATTTGGCAAAGGCTAACATGCCAAATTCTCTTTCTATGGAAGAGATTTTTATTCCTCACTCTCTATACGCAACTTCTTTCAAATTTCTCTCTTTCTATCTCCCTCACTCTCTCTCTCTAGGTAACATCGGCGGGTAGACATAGTAAGGACCCAGTTTCTATGCTGCCAAGCCCGTATATGTAGAAATACGGGCCTATTGATAAATCTATTTTTGAGATAGATTTTAAGACTTTATTTTTAGAGACATGTAATCTCTAATATGGAGATCATTAATATGAATAAATAAATAAATTTTAAAAACTAAAAATAATTATTCTAATAAGAAACTATTTAGACCGTTAGTTTCTATTATTTTTAGATGGAACACCTACTTGCATCCATCTTTAAGATAGATGCTTTACACTTTCTGGACCGCATATGTTGAAATGCGGTCCAGCCCGAATGAAACAATTTTCCACATAGTAATTAGAAAGGGAAAGGGTTTCTACAAGTCATGGGACTCATAGGGACTCATGTATAGAGATGCGTCATCTCTTAAAAGTTCATTTTTGAGATAAATTTTAAACCTAATTTTTAAGGAATATATAATCTTTAACATGGATATTATGAATTTATTAGAAAATCAAATTTTATAAAATAATTTTATGAAGGAAATATTTAGACCATTGGTTATAACTTTTTTCGAGAGAAACTACCCATGTGAATCCATCTTTCAGAGATGTTTTATTCCTCAGGGAATACAAATTTAGTAATTCATCCCCTGGTGCATACAACAACTTTTCACTTTGAAGATAGTGATACCTCAAACAAAATAAATTTGAGAAAAAGAAAAAGAATAGAAATCTAGAAAAGATGAGGTCCCTCCCACATTAACATGGAAGGGACCTACAACGCTACTCCTATAGGTGTACAACATACTTGTATTTTGAGAGAAACTACCTACGTGAATCCATCTTTAAGATAGATGTTTTATGCTTCTGGGAATACAAATTTAGGAATTCGTCCGCTGGTGCATACAACAACTTTCCAATCTAAAGATGGTGATACCTCAAACAAAAATAAATTTATGAAGAAGAAAAAAGAATAGATATCTAAGAAAGGTGAGGCCCCTCCCACATAAACATAGAAGGGACCTACAACGGTACTCCTGTAGGTGTACAACATACTTGTATTTCCTAGGGCACAAAACTTATTTTTCTCCTTCGCCTAAATTTCACAATCAAAAGTAGACTACGTTGAATGCTCAAATTATATCTTAGCTCTTTTTCCCTTAAGGGTCAAACTATTTTTTTCGTTAATTCAGACGTAGTTCAGTTCTCGTACTTCCAAGTGTACTGCTCTATTGTTGGTTGGTCCTTTTTGTTCCCCGTCTAATTACCTTTTTGGTTTGAGCAACTAGGCTGAGCATGATATCTTTCTTATGATCCACCGGTTAAGAAGTTTGGATTTGTCTTTTCTCTTAAGGATGAGTTAGAAGTTAAAAGAGTTTTTAAGCAAAGACATTGGAGAGCAATTCATTTCTGCAACTACAAAAACATGTTTGCTTAAGTTTAATAATAATTTGTTGTAACTACATCTCTGAGGGAAGAAGAAGCAATCTGTTTGGCTAAGTGTTTGCTTAAAGTTTAATAGTAATTTTTTTATGGGCATTTTCTAGCTTCTTGAATACCATAGCACCGAAAAAATTCCTACCATTTAGACTGGCTGCTAAGACGGGAGCCATTCAACGTAGCAGTAGAGACTGCCTATTATTAATCTTGATTAGGAAGAAGAAATATAGTATTGTGGACCCTTATGAAGTTCAAACTTTGGTGGCCATGGATGGTTCTATTGAGGAAGCACTGATGATTCCCCCATTAAATGTTTTCTCAGCTGAGAACCTGGAGTTGATTTCTTCTAAGGATAACAAGTTCTCTCATCTTGATGGTGATGAACAAGAGGATTTTGAAAGTATCCTTGGGGACATGAGTGTGACTTTCAATACTCTAAAGGACAGGTTGCAGATGCTTTATGAGGAAAGGTCTAGAGAGCTAAAGAGGAAGAAGAAGCTAAAGTGGGAGAAAAGGTTATCGAGACTCTTGCTAAGAAAACTAAAGCTAAGGGCAGAGGGATTGCCAATTGTACTCCAAAGCCTACAAGATCATCTCCTAGGCTTGCCCCCCTAAAAATGGCTCAAGGTGGTGGTGGTTTGATCATCCCAAGTGATGACAGTGGAATGGAACCTATAAAATCGTCTATGTCCAAATCTGTTGGGAAGGGAAGGTGAGGAGCCATCGAAAATGGAGCTACTTCTGTACCAAAATGAAGCTAATAGGTTGAAATGTTTGGGGCCTCGGTGAGTTGAGTCATAAGAATGAGGTAAAGCTTCTTGTCCATAAGTATAAACTAATATTTTGTTATTACAGGAAACTAAATTACCAAGCCCGTCTCTTTTTGTTGTCAAGGAGATTTAGGTTTTAGGTTTGTTATTTTTTGTAGGGTGGATTATGTGGTTGCCTATGGGGATTTATGGATTGTGTGGGATCATAATGTTTAATCTTGTCCAGACATCATTACAAATGCTTGTTTTGTGGGGAGTTATTTCAGAAGATCATTTTCTTCTTATATGTGCTTGTTGATCAATGCTATTAGAGGTGTGAGGGTCACCTAAGTCACGGATATACTTATACTATATGCCTCATGTGATTATGTGTTGGACAGGGTTAAGAGAACTAAAAGGAAATAAGAACCCCAATATCTAAGTGTAATGACCCTTCATAGGATGGTCATGACTCATGGGGCATGAATCCACACCCTGATACGAGAACAACTTATGGCATGTGCACTCACAATTACACAAGAAGCCACTCTTCTAATCTGTGATTATCCAACTAGAAAGAGCTAGTACACATGTGCTAAAAGACCCTATATATTATTGTTTCTATGTTCCCAGGAGTGCACATGTATATTACTCACACTCAAAAGTGTTGGAAAATTGATTGGGATGACGTTGATAAATCATATTATGCGTCCTTTCCAGAGACTCTGGATCATCGGCTTGTTACGTCGTTCTGAGTGAATGGACCATTATTCCGGACTAGCACAATGGAGTACCTTGATACTAAGATTTCAACCCAGAGATCTCATTTACCTATCGTCCAATTTTGTTTTGATATCAAAATAAGCATGCTTTTATATGAAAGAGGATTTAGAGATTTTTAAGAAATTTTGCCAAATTTTGAAATTTTTTTTGGAGCAAGAATACGAGGTTTTTGAATTTATTTGGGGTACATTCCAATCAAAAACAACTAGTGAAGGCCCCACGTGCTACCCAAGTGGCCATAGGGTGATACACCGCACCCCATGGGACCCACATGTCTCTGACATCAAACCCCCTTTGGTGTCCTTCCTTGGAACTTGTGTGTTCTATAACAAGAAGTTTCATATAGTTTAAATGAAAAAGAAGTTCTTAAGTGAATAATTTCATCACATGCTTTAATTGGTATTCTTATAATTTTTACTCACATGTGTCTAGGGTTGAGGATACATCATGAAATTTTGGCTTAGGCCCTAAGTCTTGGATGATAACTAGGACACTTGATGCTCCATACATAAGGTAATATGCATAGCTTCTACTATTTTATTTTTAGAGTATTTCTTATGTCTTTTTATTGCTGCAAATCTATGATTACAGTAGAATTTTTGTTCTTTTATGCTTGAGTGTTTGTGACATTTGATTACCTTGTAAAACTATGCATCCATAGCGTGTAATGTGGATAGTCTAGATTTCAATCTTGAATTTAGACGCCACTTTCTCTACCATTTTCTAATTTCTTTGTGAATTATATGGCATATTTCATGCATATTAGCAAGCATTTAGTGATTCTTTGAAGGGTGCAGTTGGCATACGGACGCCTCTATAGGTATAGAGGTACGATGCCCTTCAAATTTTATCATGGTATATAATTTTGAAGTAAAATGTTATTAGGATTATCTCAAAATCTATTTTTATATCTAATTATAAAATTTTAAATTTCAAAAATGGTTAAAATCAAGTATATCTATAAACATATAGAAATCTTGAAAGTGAACAGTGTAGATAATATGTTGTAAAATGCACTATTTCTGTGACTTAAAATCTTTTTATTTTTCATAGTCATACATCTTGATGTCGAGATGATCAATCAAAGGGTATTTCAACATTAAAACTACCTTTTCTGATGGATTTTGAGGGGCATCCGTAGTTCTACGTTATAAGGTAGCATCCTTATATAAAATTTTCCCTTCTATGAATGCCCCATCATAGTTAGTTGATCCTAGAGCATTTCCCTTGTGAAACAATACTTGTTTTCTCTAGTCTATGGCCATATACTCCCATACACCATAAGTTGTCTATGCTCATTGTTTTTATCACCAAAAGTACATTTATGTCTCTCATTTTGAAGCTAATAAAGTGGTTAGTAATTGAGCATCCCGTTACATTAATAAGAGAAGCCCTTTTGTATCACAGTCATCTGTGCCATCATACATGGGACAAAATTAAGACTCTAAAAGGTTTGTTTATGTGATCTTGGCACAAAAGGTTTAACAATTGGCTTCCACTTGATTCTTCTCACTCATTTGTCGTAATTTTGGCTTCCCCTTGATTCTTCTCACTCATTTGTCGTAATTTTAAGTTTTGTAGAATGAATAGTTGATTAAGTAATGTTTGGAGTTGGTTTATATTGTTGAGAAAAGTATATGCTCACAATGTTGCGAGATTCGCTTCGGAGTCGTCTTCGGTTTGGTGAGAAAAATGAAGCAATTCAGAGCATTAGCTGATTGGGGGAAGACTTTAGATTTTTAAATTTAATAAATAATTTAGATATTTATATAAAATAAATAAAAATAATAAAAGAAAATTTTTAATATATATATATATATAGA